CTAAAATTAGTACGGAAGGAAGAAGACGGTGGGAAGTTGACACGTGTCTCATTCGATGTGAGAATTACTCGTTCTTACGGCAATTAGATGTGGCGCGAAGCGTCACAACTGCTGCGACCTCTATGCCCCTACTCTCGCTTCACCCCCCACCCATCCCCCATTGCAGTTGCCCTTTTATTTTATCTTTCTTATTCCGGAAATCTTGGTGCTATACATTTAGTAATAGTATGTATTCTTTGATCACAACCGTTGATCTTCATCAATTTTAGATGTCAAATGATATTATGATGGACCCACCTAGATGTCCATCCCCCATCTCACTTTGATGATCAATCTCTGACTTGGATGATCAATCAAAGTCAATTGTTACTGGAAAATATTTTGGGCCGACGTGATGCTTGATTGGAGCATCATAGAGTTCATAACTTTTTTATTAATTGAATGATTTTTAATGACTGAAATGCATTAAAGTATGTGGAAATCAAATGGCTAGTCTTTTATAAGTTACTACGTCCAACCAAATAGAAGCACTTAAATATTAAAAAGTGTTATTTTGTGCACCCACGGATGCACATTACCTATTATAATCCAACCGTTTAAGGTTACATGGTTCACCCCATTTTTTTTTTTTTTTTTTTTTGTACAAAGGATTATTGCCCGAATTATAATAATATGGCAAAAATATACCGCTAAGACGCTAATCACTAGCGATGGGTGTGTGAAAAGCATAGAGACACCGCTAAGATCATCAACAAAGTCGCCACCACGGACGAAGATAAGACACAAACTACCACATAATTTATTAAATGGGCTAAACCTTGTGGCAATACCACGACTTGCAAGGTTTGAACCCATAACCTTGTCAGCAAGCGGTTGTTTACTGACCCCACCTTTCTTTGAATGCAACAGTAAACGGTTGGATGATAATAGGTAATGTCCACCCTCATTTAAAGTGGGTGCAAAAAAATAGCATTCAATGTTAAAAGAGTCATATCTGGCAGCAACATAAGGTCGCAAGATTAAACTGTTAAATGACCCCAAAATTGAAATGTGGTTCAAAATGTGTCTCACATCATAACTTTGGTGTGGGAGAGTTCATGTGATGAATTAAGAGTTAGGTTTGATCGATTATGGATAGTGCTAAGCTTACAATAAAATCCTATGTAATTTTCTATCGAAAGTTAATCCGACGGCAGAACTATTTTTTATATATTCATGATTCGTGTCTATCCCAAAGTAATATACATAGTAGATTATATTTGGGGATTTTGACTAAAAACCCCTACTTGGAAAACTTTTAGTCTAAGGCCCAAGAGGGTTTCAGTCAGAGGGTTTCAGTCAGAGGGTTTCAGTGTGTGTAATTTATAGGAAGAGGGTTTCAGTGAAACCCTCTCCGAGAGGGTTTCAGTCAGTTATCCTTGGGCCTTAGACTAAAAGAAAACGTTTGTTAGGCTAAATCCTAAAACGTTTTTCAAGTAGGGGTTTTTGGCCAAAATTCCCATTATATATATTTCGATAAGAAATTCTTAGGCTTTTCCCAAAGTTTAGCTTATTAAACCACTAATAAATTTGATTAAGATTGATGACAAACGAAATCTTTTTTATTATATAGTCAGATATTAATATTCTTTTTACAGATTTACCCAACCGACTTTTCAAGGGTCAATGCCTCAACAATATTATGCCCACGTGCACAATAAAATGTACAATAACACCTTTGGCCCCATTAATTTTCAATTGACTTCTAACGAGCTTTTGATTGGATTAGAAGTTTTAGAATGAGATAATTTTTAGTGGAGATGATCTATATGGTGAGAAGGACATGTTTTCAAAAAATTAACCTTTGAAGTAGGCCCTAAGCCATTGTATTAAACCAAACTGTGTTAGTGTCGACATCACGCTAGCACCGTCCGTCTACCGCTACCTATACTGTTCTGATCGGATCGGATCGGATATCAGTGAGTACACAAAACCCGGAACTGAACTAAACCGGAATTGATTTCTATTGTTTTGGTTCTACATAGTTCAGTATCGGAACGGAAATCAGAACTGGAATCGTTAGTATTATAACCGGTTCCAATTCGGAGTACTTTGATATCCGATAGAACCCGATATGAGTCAATGACTGATGATGAAGTTCAAGTTTATAGATAAGAAGGTGGTCAATTTGATTCTAGATAAAAGAAACAACTAAAATACCACATTAATTAAGAACACACTAGATTGTTTAAAAAAAACAATGTGTGATACTTAATATTGTAATATTTTAGGTCAATTTTGAAGATGCTATAATCTTACCAAATCTGATTTAAGTAATTAAAAGTTAAAACTAATACATACACTAATTTAAGCCAAGTTTGTTAGATCATTTATAAGTAGATACAATATTATATAGATAGTTGTAATGATTATTGATTGATATGTATTTTTATACGTAGATCCGTGTCGTAGACTTCGTATAGCTTTTTCTTTTATTTTGTTTAATCAAAGAATTTGAAAATGGGGTTAGAGAGAAGAGTTCCCCTAAAATAAATTAGTATATGAAAAATAAAAAAGACTTGACTGCATTAAAGATTAGATGGTATTAGGGTGCCTAATATAATTTGTTTTTTTTTTAATTTTGTTTAATTTTTTATGGATATGGCTTATTGTTTAGTCACTTTACGAGAAATCGCCTACCTTACCAGCACCAAATGTTCAATCATTAATCACTGAAAGTATACGTTCTTCGATTGTGCTATGCTCTCCATGATTAACATAATTATGTGAAAAGTTTTATTATTATGGAGACTTGAACCCACAACTTAGGAGAGATCAAATGTCATGGTTAAGAAGATGTTGTATTTTCGTGCTCACATGTATAATCAACATGAAACGATTCAAAAACTAATTTTCGATGAGAATGATCTAAACCTGATATAAAATCAAACCATTCTAATACTTATATGGTTAATGGAAGAAACTCACACCAAAGATTGGTTTGTTTTGAGGTATAGCATCCCAATGAAAGATTGTGTTCCAATCCACAAAAGATTAATATTAAATAGAAAGCCCTTTTATCATAGGGTAGTTTATAAAAAAAACTTACAAAAAAAAAATAAGAAAAGAAAAATGAAGCTCTTTGCCGACACCTACCAATCAATCAGATCGTTGAAAAATCATTTTTGCTAAACAAGAAAATATTTACAGGAAGATAGGACAAGGGAGGTGGGGGTATATGAAGGATTTGGGTGGAAGTAATAAGGAAGAAAAAGAGAGGAATGTGTGGTAGAAATGTGAAAAAGCTTGAAACAAAAAGGTTTTTAATTAATTATTTAAGAAGGTAGCTAGGGGAAGGAAAGTGAATATATTCCTGTGGGTAAACCACCCCTCCAAGGACTTCTCTTGTGCAAGCAACCAATGAGTCTTCCTTTTACTCAATTTGTTTATATATTCCACTTGTGTGTTTAAAAGAGAATATTTAGAAAGAATATCTTAGAAGACTAGCTAAAAAAAAAAAGAAGAGAGGGTTAGGGTTTATTAAGGGTCCTCAGAGTCTAATTAAACTATATATAATAAATGAATAAATGTGGAAGCCATCTTAAGGTCAATATTAATCAGTTATCTTGTGTGTCAAGTATGAGAAAGTTTGGTTACACAGTGACAAATTTAAGTCCAAAATCTTTTGTAGATTAGTACAGAATTGAAATTGGAAACATAAGTGACCATACTTTTTATTTTGAAGGAAAAAAAATTCATGCATCAGAATTAAGGAACAGCTTAGCATACTGACCTAAAATATTCTTAAAAACACAATGAAACATAGATTGATTAAATCCCTTTCAAACCCACACAAAAGTAGATCAGAAAGTCTATTTCGAAAAAAAAAAAAAAAGAAGAAAGAAAAGCTTACAGAATTTCAAATCAACAAACGAACAATGAGTTTTGGAGGAGCTGTTGATTTGAAATTCTGTAAGTTTTTTTTTGCAAAATAGACCTTTAAGTGAAGTATATTTCTTGTATTAGATGTGTTCAATGGAGTTTGAATTTTTCTTTTAACCTTTATACCCTATTCTTCATCCTAGGGATCCCTTTTTTAGCCTGGTTCTTGTCTATCTCGAATTTTCCTTAAATTGTGATTCCTACCAAGAGAGAGAGAGAGAGAGAGAGAGAGAGAGAGAGAGAGAGAGACCCATTTTAAGAGACTTGTACAACAAATGGTCACTGAAGTCAAAACAGTTCTTTTCCTTTTCTTTTTTTAGGTAACACAGTTAAGGCATGGATGGGAAGACTAGTAGCATAGGCAAACTGTAGCCCGAAGTCCCCACTAAAAGAGGTGTACATAAATGGGTACCAATTGATGGAACCAAAATGAATTTTTCGCCAACCCACAGGGGTTAGCATAGATTGTAACCGGCAGCAGCAGGGCTAAATGCCAGGATTGCGGCAGGGCTAAATGCCTCAGTTGTGAGTTCGAGTCTTGCGAACACCCATTAACTTAACCCCATTGCACATAAGAAACTTCTTGAGTATTTTGGTGCCTCTGACACTGGGTTTAGTCTCACCTGAAGGATGAGGACACCCACGATTTCCAGAAAAAAAAAAAAACAAACAGTCATCTCATTCGGCGACAAAGCAATCTTTCATCGTCTTCATTCTACATCCCCCAACTGTCTGAGTAATGTTTGCTTTCCAAAATGATTTGAATCTCTCTGCTCTTGTTTCAGTCTAAACAAAATCCTGGTCTGTCAGCTTTAAGCTAAAATGCAAAAACCTAAATGTTCGAGGAAACTGCACATCATGAATGCAATGTATACATTGCTTGAGATTCCTGAAACAGATTGCTTTAGACACAGTACTTGTATTACATACTACACCAAATGTAATTCTGACACAGTAAGCAATTGGCGTGATATACTACGTTAGAAATTTGTTTCTTTTCAATCTCTTATTGAAGGACAGAACCCAGCTTTTATGAAGCAACAAGAAGAAGATTATTCATTCAAGCATGTCATGTAGTTCTATAAGTTAGGAGGGACCCATATATAGCCATGCGTTTGCATGTAACCAGCTTTTGCCAGTAGCTCGTCTGCCTCCACGGGCCCTCGGCTGCCTGGTTTGTATGAAAGTGGCTTCAGCTTCCCATTGTCAATTCTATGCAGCAAAGGAGTGAATATTTCCCACGCTTCCTGATGATCGGAACATCATATGTAACAATTTAGCAATCTTTTATGTATGTTACAATGTGTTTTGAGAGTATAGTCCAGGTATGTAGTGTATTTACCTTCAACTCATCCCTGCGAACGAAATGCTGCTGATCTCCTCGTATCCTACAGAAGAAAGGGGTTGCTCTAATTAATTTCTGATCCTCCTTGAGGAGTTTCTTGCTTTATTCTTCACTCTTCAAGTAAAATGGCAATTCTAGAGTTGCATTTTGTACATCATTGATACAGTATAAATGTATGCATAACGCAAAACAAATATATAACGGGTAATGGTATCTATAAGATATAAGGAGACAGGAACATACGTGTCCAGAATTAAGCGCTCATAAGCCTCTGGAATTTTAACTCCTTGATACCGTTGCTTGTAAGATAAGTCTAGTTCACTTTGTACGGTGGACATGTCCAGTCCTGGTTGCTTGACCTGTAAGAAAGACAGATTCAGATCGAAGACTTGAATACTAATGTGGAAAACTTAATTGATCAACTGAGTTTTACAGCAAACATGCAGGAATAATATGGTGGAGATTACATGAATCCTTGTACAGAAATTGACAGAAAAAAAAAAAACATGAAAATGAGGTTGTTTTCATCTTTTGAATGTGTTAGATGGATGCATATCTAGAGATAGAGGCAGTAGGTACCATAATATGAGATGGGCAATATCTTGAAGATTAATATAAAATGATTCTAAAATTCAATCAAATTATATGAATTCATAACTCAGGAAAAGAAAAGGTATTGATAATAGTTTTCCACACATACGGTTATACTCAAATTTGAAGAATTCCAGTACCTACGAAAGATGCACAAAAAAGAATCACTTAAATGTTCCATTGAATAACCATTACACCACATTCAGTTGAGGAAACAGTGAATTGAGGAGGAATAAACACTTTTCCGATGGTGAAACATGTACAACTTGCTTCTCCGTATATCACTTAGTAGGGCAGAAGTTTTACCACTTCATGTGAAATCCTAATAATGGTAGTGCAACATCAATCCTCTAACAGATCAAGGGAATTAACTACTTACTGTAAGCTTCATGTACATGGCCTCTGAAGGTTGCAGGCGTATAACAAACTCATTTCTTCCTTGTTTTTTACCTGTACAAAATAAGAATCAGCAATCTAAGAACGCATTCATCCCATGGACGACAGAGGTTAAAATGAGTTATAGTTGGACCATCAAACAAATATTCAAATAATATCATACATTTGAAGATGTCACCAGGAACCTCCTTAAATTGGATTCTGATTTCTGCTTTCCTTGAATTTAAAGCTTTTCCTGCCTTAAGTATAAAAGGTACGCCTGCAGAGAGATCTCTCATGAGCAAGAAAAGCCTATAATAGTTCTGAGCTTCTGGCTAATTCTGAAAGACTGAAAACTCATCCCACCTTCCCATCTTTCATTGTGTATTCGCAGAACCACAGTTGCAAACGTTGGCGTATTTGAGTCGTTCGGAACTGTTGGATCATCTTTATAGCCTTCATACTGCCCAAGAACAACTTCTTCATCTGCAATTGGTAGGACTGACTGAAGAACCTGAAATTTGAAAATTAATCACGAAACGTACAAGGAACAGTTCATATATTACAAACATGGAAGAATAAAAGACATAGGAGAAATATTAAAAAAAAAAAAGGAAGGATTTTGTGCAAAAGAGGTGTTATCTATAGGTTATCTAATAGAAAATACTGAAACAATAAGAGGATGGTTTACCACATGCATTAGGAGAAGGAAACAAAATACAGATAATGAGATTTCTTCTACGAGACTGAATTAAGAATAAAACCTTCACTTTCTCATCCCGGATGTGCTCTGGTTTCAAAGAAACAGGTTTCTCCATAGCGACCAAGCAGAGAACCTAAAGTAGTTTGCAATAATTAGAAATCAAAATTTAAACTAGCACTCTTAACTGAAACATAATGACTGAGCTGCTGTCTCATGAGTAAAGAAAACCATTTCAGCACACTAGCGACATGGAAAACCAACAAAAGTTAGTGATTCTACAAAAAAGTGACTGCTTTGGTAAATATGAAGCACAGACAGCATTTATGACATTTCCTTCTTCTGAACATTGTGTCATTGAATATGAAGAAGTACCTGCAACAGATGATTCTGAATGATATCCCGAATGATTCTGCAAAAAATAACATAAAAATATAAGCTTCTATATTCAAAAGGTCTTCATGATTGCTGCAGCAAAGTAAAAGCTTCCTAGTGAGGTCCAATGTCTATCAATAAAAGAAACATAAATGTTCTGACATAAACAATCAAGTTATAAGGTGGTTTTCTAAACGATGTTCAATTTAACTACTAATAAAGAAGCATGATCATCTAGATTTTCAAGTCCTATTCAACATACATATTTTTGCAATAACAGTGTAGCATCATCAGGACATACCCATACTCGTCAAAATATCCACCGCGTCCGTCAGTTCCAAAATCCTCTCTGAACACAATCTACAAAAAGTAAGATAAATTTGAAGCAACCAATGATTTGATTCTCTGTAGGAAGTATCTGTTTGTGGGCAAAAAGAATATTGATTAGCTTCAAGTGTCCAATGATGATAACAATTCCACATGTCTGCACTCTTTTTTTTTTTTTTTGATAAGTACACATGTCTGCACTCTAGATTTCATATGATTTCTAAAGGATTCACACGGTGACCTCAATGTTGTAACAGATGGGGTCATGAAAACCACACAAAGTCAAACATATTATGAAAGATAAAGAAGATGAATACAATTTTATATCACCATTAAACATATAATTTAAATAAATAATCCATTCCACCATCCCGGATTTTTTTAAAATATTTTCACCAGTATGGATCATGTTCAGATCTTATTGATATAATGCTCTAAAGATTCGACTACAGAAAACTTTGTTATAGAATACCTGTATATTATCAATGTTATCACGATTCCAAAGGGGCAAAAAGAAGCGATTTGCAAAACGAAGCACCAACTGCCAAAGTAAGTAGGATGGAAAGTTAGGTATAGGTAAAAAGGACCGTTTATATCTTGCACTCCTGTGGTAAACATTACCAGATTCTGCACCAACTCTTTTCCTAGATAGTGATCGATACGGTAAATCTGTTCTTCATCAAATAACTCCCCAATCTGGGCACTAAGTGCCTCTGCCGAATCCAAATCCTTGCCAAAAGGCTTTTCAACAACGATCCGAGTCCAACCACCAAGATCAGCTGAAAAGGAATAAATATGTATACATAAATATGTAATTATGTATACCATAGCTTTTAATTTCTGAATTCTATATGAAAAGCCCTAGTTTGTATTGTACATGAGTGAAAGTGATTCATGATGACCAAAAAGACATACTTTCAGCTGACTTTATAGTGAAGAGGAACAAAAAGTAACCAAATTTAAAGAAAAAAAAAAAAACAGAGGAACAACATAGATGCATGGTAAAGAAAAAGAAACAAGAAGGAAAAGAGAAACAAAATACTAAAATAGCCTGAAATGAGGAAAAATTGTATTCAACTTTGGAGAATAGCTTGTGTCATACATTAGTTTGAAGGTTGCTGCTCATGTAGCATTAAACCAGCTTCAAGTATATGCACAGCACTCACATGAAAATTTTATAGGTCTAAGATTATGCATGTGTATCTCTTAACATTCCCCAAATAAAATTGGAGCATGACTGAAATACAAGCAATGTTTTCTAGTTAATAATAATTCCTTTGGTCAATGACCTTTCCATAAGAATCTAAAAACTGTCCATATGAAGTAATAAAATGAATTCCACCTTGCTTTCACCAGGGGCATTAGTAAAAGAAACATTGATGAAACTAATACTATTTTCATTAAGGGATAGTTATCCTCCAGAAATAATAAGCTCTGCTTCGTCACAGATCATATTGATCAGGTCCTCGAGTATCCTAGAGCTGTAATCAAACAACGAATTAACATATCCAGATATTAAAGTACACTTTTGAAATCCCAGACCAAAGATCAATAAACAAACAATAAGATTTAATAATCTAGAAACCCATAAAAGAGAAGTTCAGGAAATCTCAAATGAACCTCTGGTGGCAGATAAATAAATCAATAGACAGTTAATAGTTAACTCTACTGTAGTCATAGATATGGACTCGACGTACATGATCTTTTCCAGTAAACAAGGATGTTTGTTAGAATAACCTATATTACTAAGCTAAGAGATTAAGATTTTAGATTAGATATCATTTTCCTTTAGATTAGGATATTAACTAACCTAGATTCCCCTGAAGTGTCACAGGATATGAGCCTGGACACTAAGAGGCAGACACTAAGATTTTAGATTAGTTAACTTTTCTTGAACCCCATTCTCTGGAATCTTTGACCTGTCTATCAGATTAGTACTATGGTTTTAACGGTATAATTCCCTTATAATTTTCCATTAGATTAATAATTTATTATCTATTAGTATAAAAAATTATCTTAAAAATAAATAAACAATATCTAACAAGGTACAATTTTCTGTGAATTCGGTGTTTTACAGGATGATCTAATGTACTACGTTGAATATCCCACATCCAAGTCGTAAATGAAAACTTACACTTATTCATGCAAAAATGTCTGATCATTTTGCAAGCAGATGGATACACTGATGGAGGAAGTGCAAGATAAAAAAGTCGCCGAGATGATCCTTCTTGACTATTTGTAGAGACTTCATGCTCATAAATTGCCTTATCCAACAATCTGAAACCCTCCTCGCAATCATAAGAACCACTGATATATTTCACCTGCGAGGAATGACTACAAGTTACTAAAATAGCCCATGGTTGATTGAAACAGAAAGTAACTTAGGCAGAAAAGTCTTACTTACCAGCAGCAAAAACTTGGATGCATCCTCTGATTGCCCAGAAGAAGCTCCCTTGCCATGGAAAAGATGTCTGCAGTTAATGTTCACAAGGGAATCAATCTCGATTAGTTGTTTTACACATAGTATTAAACATATCAGTGAAATTGTACAGGAAATATGAACATTTTAAGTAGCAAGTTTTAAAGGAATGAAGGGTATCAAACGAAGAAACAGGAAACCAGACAGAAGTGTTAACAAGAATCAGTATATCATGAATTGAGTGTCTGCCTACTAGAAAGTTACTGTAAAGACAAATAAAACAACTAAGATGGCATAAGACACGAGTACCATCATTAAAATGCTTTGACTATTACTTGGTGAACATTACAGAGATAAAAGAAGGTTTATAAATCTAACCCGCGTATGCGGTCTCTCAACTCATCATCTGAAATCTTGGTTCGTGCATAACCAAATATGTGGACTTCATTTGGATGCAAGAATCCCTGCAAACACCCCAACTGATTAGTACACAGATGTTCATATGGGTGAATCTGAAACAGGTTGAAAGATGTTTATTTATCAGTTTAAGAGATGTCTATCATTGACAGCACTGGGAGTATGTTAAGGGTTGCCAGATAAATGTGGTCCACCACCCGTTACACCGGCATAATTATATGATATACATTGTGGTGTCGCTCTCTAACAGTTCAAACTGTTAGAGCAAGTGGTTATTAACATGGTATCAGAGTGGGAGATCCAAATAGGCAGTCATGGGTTCAAACCCCAATGCTAGCAGTAAGTGACTCTCATTCTCTCTCATATATATATATATATATATATAAAAGAAAGAGATGTCAAAGCAAGTAGTTGTTAGCAAAGGGAAAAATTCGAATACAGTTGCAATGCACATTTCTTGTAGTTTCCACTGGCAATGTGATATATCATACATAGCTTTACTTTAAGTTCTAAAACTGAACATAAAAAAAATCGAACTGTACAACCCTTAATGGGGAGTATTCGAATGCAATACAAAGTGGGTTTCCTACAAAACCTGTTGGTAAAGATTGAAAAGTGCAGGAAAAGTCTTTTTCTTGGCAAGGTCTCCAGAAGCACCAAGCACAATAATTGAGAGACACCCAGTTTCTGAAACAGAGTCTCTTTCCTCTGAGAAAGGTTCAATCTTTACACTAGTAGATCTTCTTTCAGTAGATGAATCGCTTGATCCCATTGGGAGCAGTTTATTGGTATTATTCTCAGTTACACAGATATTAGTAACGCACTTTGGCCGATCTACTGTTCAGAAAAAGAAAATCAGTAAGTGCAAACTCAACTACTGAGCATCAATTACAAAAGAAAAAATTGCTTGATCAATTTGGGAACTCACTCAATGAATTATGAAAGAATCCATTTCCAGATCAAAATTAAGAAATCGATAACCCTTAATTAGTTCATGAATTCAATTGAAAACACAACTTAACTGACTCAAAAAAAAAAATTAGGGCTCCAACCTCGATTATAATCCGATCCTCGAAAAGTTGGAAATTAAAGACGATTTCCTCTTTAGGTCATCTTGAAGGAACAAAAAAAGAAAGACAGGATTTTTTTTCTGGTTTCCAACCATGAATATCTGTTACTGGTATTGCGATTTGCGAAGCGTAGCGGAGAGCCACGTCAACGCATTTCGAGTGATATCTGCTGAGATAGAACGCTTTTTTGTCTTCTCAAGCACCACGTGGATGCCACGTCATTTTCATGTGTTTTACAAACGAAACATCAGCTATAAATCGTGTCCGTCGGATTTCAAAGCTTTTGCTAATTCATATCCTTAATTATATTATATCCATGTAATTATTCTTTTATTGACATTATTATTATTATAGAGTCAAAATTTGGAAACGACCGCACAATAATTTTTAAAAAAAAATTGGAACGTTAGATTTTTATTAAATTTTACCATGAAATAGCTTAATTTAAATGCAAAATAATATTAATATAATATACTTAATATCTTAAGAGTTTTTTAATATTAATTTACTAATTTACATCACAAATATTACTTTCATATATTATACTGCGTATTTTTATATAACTTTCATATATTATACTGCGTATTTTTATATAACATAAACTCTCTTAAATCTATGCTCTCGATATAACTAATAAAACGTAATATAAAATTAAGAAAAAACTAAGCCTGAAAATCCCATATTCTTCCATGCATTCTTGCAAACCAAATACAATCAATGTTTGTTTCAAGTTTACAACTATCTCATTCGCTTTCTATCGTGCTAGAGGACCGAAAAAAAAAATGAAAAGCTAGAGGATTTGGCGCATAGACTATTGACCATTTGATTTGAAATGAGTTTAAGGCGGCAAAAAAGAAAAAAAAAAAAGAAGAAGAAGAAAAAAAAAAAAGCGGAAGCTTCAACCAGACAATAACATTAAATCAATCATATTGGTTTATTGATCATGTGATTAAAGTCAATAATTTGGTCCGATTTATTTGGTTAAGGACTTGAATAACTGAGAAAAGAAACCTTTTATTATAGAATCTAATAAGGTTAAAAAAAAAACTAAAAAAAACTAAAACTTAATCCGTTCGTAATGAACAAAAAAAAGGTCTAGACATATACATTACATTAAATACGTATAGAACGAGCACAAAATAATTGCAAAAAAAAACAAAAAAAAAAAAGAAAGAAAGAAAGAAGGAAAAGAAAAGAACATCAAGAAAAAGTAATTCTAAGGAAGTAGAAATGAATGGAATTGTGTTCACAAGTAGTACTAGTCTTGGACTATTTACGATTTTTCTTGCAAAGCTCCTTCACCCATCTGAAGCTCATTTTCTTTGCCCCAGACTTGCTCTTGCTCGACCCATCCTTCCCCTTCTTACTTTCATCTTCGGTGGCCGCCGGCGGTGGAGGGTCTGGGTGGTTATCCCATTGGTCCGCCCATGACAACCCCCCGTCCATCTCCTCTCTCTCTCTCTAGATTTATGTACTTATCTCTCTCTCTCTCTAGCTTTCTCTAACCTTGCCTGGAGGGAGATAGATACAACTTCTTGGGGTTCTTATGCCCTGCCCAAAAGTTTTTGGGTGTTTGGTTTTATGTGTTGTTAAATGGGTATCTTTAGAAACTTGTCTTTTAACGGTTAACTTAACTGAATTTTGCCTAAATGTAACGGAATTGGAAGCTTTACAAAACATTGCTTATTCTGGCAGGTAAATTTTGGCCCTCATTTTCTAACCAATTTCTCTTGTTGGGCTTTAACTAAATATTCAAATATACCTTCTATCCTCTGGTCTCAATGCTTCATTCCAACTCAAGAACCTTTTTTTTGCCCATCCATTTGGTGCACGCAAGCATCTGAAACTAACAACTATAAGTGAACCAGCATTTTCATAGGAGATAGACATCTTAGGGTGTGTGTTTGAAAAGAGAAATTTCATGCAGGCATTTGGCAAAAGCTATACTCACCCTCTTTGGTAAATGAAATGTGAGCACGAATGAAGCGCATGTTCCAAACAGACCCTACAGTACGCAAATGATCGACGCCAATAAAACACATATTATAGAATCTACAATGCGACCATATGTGCCAATAAAACACATATATGGGAAGAAAAGGATTTCTAAAGAAAATACTAAATCTCAATTCTCGACTCTCACCATGTTTGATTTACTCATCTTCATGAAAATACTTGAAAAAATAAGTGTATTTCCATAAATGTGTTAAGATCATAATCTTTTTTTTGATAGATTGTTAAGATCATAATCAACCTTAGTAACAAGAGCGTGGACTGAGAGAGAGAAGCGAGGGCGCCAACTACTTACACCCTCACACCCTCTATGAAACAAAGATATGCACCAGTGTCAGCCAAAACTTCAAAGTTAATGGTCTTTCTTGCCAAAATTCTGAAATTAACTTTCATAATTATAACATTTCCTATAAGCAAAATTCAAAATGAAAACAGTAAATTCATTTTTATAATGAAAGGGATAATTGGCCTTTAATGAACTTCAACATAAGTATTACTTAAAAAAAAACTATATCCCCTTTACTCCTTCCTACAAATTTTTACATCATTCTATGCACATGCCAAAGACATACAAGCCCACAAACTCCTGTATAAAAAAAGAGTACTACTGAGTTTAGTTAAACCATTTGATGTCCTAAACGTTTCAACAACCATGACTTCCTCTGATCAACAGATAATGCAAAGAAAAGCCTAGCCCACCTATCATCATATGCTAGGAATTCACTTGCTTGAATAACCAGTTCATCACTGAAATCAGGAATCTTGGAAAGCTCTTGAACTAAAGTACCAAGATCTACCGGCTTTTTGTCTTCCATAGCGCTAGCAATCCGTTGTATGCCTTCTGCTAATGACCCCAGTATATCCACCATCCCAACCTCAGAATGACTCTCCCTTTTCCTCTTTAACTGTTCTTTCTTCCTCTTTAAAGGTACCTCCTGTCGTGTAGGGACAGAAGAACTAGAGGTTGGTTGTGTATGCTTTTCATTTTGAGTGCCCAAATCGCCTAAATCCTGCTCAATAGCTAAGTCTTCAATGCCACCACCAATTTGGGATCCTTCATCCTTTTCCCCTGCTAAACTCTCAGGACCAGTTCTTGTGAGGGCATCTATAATTTTCTCATGTCCCATGACTCGACAAATATCCTTGAAGTTAGGAATGCACTTCATCCGGTATCCAGCAGCCTTTGAGTTTTTCTATGAAAAAATAGTAAATCATTTACCATTCCTTCGTTGGTGTTATTCCCGATAAAGTAAAAAAAATGTAACAAAAAATTAAAAATAATATTTAGTATACCTTGAGATATGCAGTCCACACTGGATCTGGTGCTGTCAGCATTTGTGATAATGCGTCCCACCGAAACCCTCCATGCTCGAGGCATTTACTTACGGTGGTACATTGAGCTTTCCACGTCTTTAATCTATTTCTAACGTGGTCACTCATTATTGTAATGCCCAGTGTTTTCCGCAAGCTTCTCCTGACTTGAGCGTATGCTATAGGTTTCCACCCAGTATCTCCTTTGTTACCCAGCTCGAGCTGCTTCAGAAGAGTGTCTACAAGCACCTTGTCCATTGCTGTGTTCCACCTCAACTGGCTCGTCCCCTTATTATCCTCCCCACCATCACTGTTGGCTTCTTGTGACAGCGGTTCCATTTCTAACGACATTTAAGAGTCTAATCAAGATACAGAAACACTAATTCAAGAACCGGTAGCCTTGTTTTCAAGTAAATCAAAGAGCATTTGATAACTACTCATACGCAAATAACCAAATATGTATAACAAATTATCATCCATACCACTCAAAAGCACCAGTGGTTTCATAAAGGCTTTCACAAGAGACATTAAAGATCATTAGGGCTTTCACAAGGCTGATGCAAAGCAGGAAACAAAAAAAGAAAAAGAAACAGAATAAATAGTAACCAAAAGTCTTTAGGGCTTTTCTGTAATAGCTTTCTCTTTATGCGGGTCTACTTCAATACCTCGCTGACAACCAATGAACCCTAAGAATTTTTCAGATGATACCAAAAATGCGTCTTTTTTGGGGTTTCATTGGTATACCCTCTGAAGCGTAGCCAAATGGTCTTCGCGGGTTCTCAACAAAAACTCATAGCCATGGACGCCCGACACCTTGATCATTAAGTTACATCTTCTAGTCATTCCTGAATTGAACAGGGCACTAGCTACAGGGCTACCAACCAAGAAAACCAGTCATAGTTCCTCACTCACTACATACAATTGGCACTGAAAATAGGCTCTACTTGAAAAGCAATCGAACCATTTTAGGGTTTTCAAATGTGACATTAAGATCAACAATGGCACCCATTTGACCACTAACNACTTCCTTTGACGATCTATTGTTCAACTAGATTGTCTAGGTAAGTTTGGAAGCTAAACCTAGAAGGTGCATAAAAAACTACTCAAATTCAGAATGCAAATTTCAATCTCTGGGGTCGGTTTTCTTTCCTCAGATTTGTAAATGTGTCTTTTTTTGGCTGCTTCTGTGGGAATAACGAGTATCGGAGTATCCAATTTTGAATTCCATTAATTTCCACTTCGCGATTTCTTCAAAGAAGACTGTAAAGAGAACGCCATGGGAGAAAGTTAGGGCATCGATAAATGAGGTCGTGTGAGAGAAATTAGGGCAAATAAAGGTTCCGTCGAGCTAACAGTATACAATTTGTCAATGGCCAAACGTCGCGGCACCACCCCCTTCACTCCTTGTCTCTTAAAACGCACCCCGCAGCCCCAATTTAAAAGGGACCAAATAAAAAGAAGGGAAATTTTAGTTCCACCCGATTTTATTAGATACTCCATATATTCTTACACCTCGTTTACATTGTCCAATGAAGCTTAAATGGAGATGATTCAAGGACTCATTTTTATTTTTATTCTTTTTTGAGGATGATCTCTTCACCAGTTATATCATCTTCACAATAATTCAAGCCATCTAAACCTTAATTGAATCATTTATTTCATTGTTACAATTTACCCAATTTTTAGTAGGGTTAAAAGTTTTATAATGATAGTAATTTTACTTTGGCTTGAGTTCTCTTTTGTGAACCAAATATCAAATTTGTATTCTATGAGAAGAAGAATTTCTCAAATTCATTTTCTTGAGACAATAATTTTACCAAGAAAACCAATTCCAATCAATCATTTCCTTAGAATTATAGTTTTCCTCAATATAAACATTCAAATTTTGTCATTGCACCAACCAAACTCAGTATACAATTGGAACACCTTCACACTAATTAAATCCATAATGCAAAAATCAGCCAATTCATTTAACACTATAAACCGGTCAATATTAGTACTAATCACACTTGTGGCATTTATATTTGCAGGAAAAATACATACAAGTCTACAAATTCCCTATTGCCAAAAAAGACGTATTACTACTGAGTTTAGTTAGTTAAAGCAGTTTTAATGTCCTAAACGCTTCACCAACCATGATTTCCTCTGATCACCAGACAATGCAAAGAAAAGCCTAGCCCATCTATCATCAGATGCTAAAAATTCACTTGCTTGAATGACCAGTTCATCACTGAAATCAGGAATCTTGGAGAGTTCTTGAACTAAACTAGAGAGGTCTACTGGCTTTTTATCTTCCATGGCACTAGCAATTCGTTGTATCCCTTCGGCTAATGACCCCATAATTTCCACCATCCCAGGCTCAGAATTACCCTCTCTCTTTCTCTTTGCAGGTACACCTTGTCGTGTAGGAGCGGACGAACTAGAAGTTGGTTGTTGCTTATGCTTCGCATTAGGAAAGCCCAACTCCCGGACATTAGCAAGGTGGTGGTTTTCTTCACTAGGGAGATCTTCAATGCCACCACCAATTTGGGATCCTTCATCCTTTTCGCCTGCAACATTCTCAGGACTAGTTCTTGTGAGAGCATCGATAACTTGCCCATTTCCCATGACTCGAGAAATATCCTTGAAGTTAGGAATGCACTTCATCCGGTACACAGCAGCCTTCGGGTTTTTCTATTGAAAAAAAAAAGGAAAAGAAAAGGAAACAACAATTGATTTATTATTCCTTCAATGGTGATATTCTCCCAATTAAGTTAAAAAAATGTGGCAAAAAATTAAATAAATGTTCAGTGTACCTGGAGATATGCACTCCACACTGAATCTGGTGCAGTCAGCATCTTTGATGCTTGGTCCCACTGAAACCCACTATGCTCGAGGCATTTTTTTATGGTGACATAATGAACTTTCCAAGTCTTCAATCTATTTCTAATGTGATCACCTGTTACTATAATGCCCAGTTTTTTTCGCATGTTTCTCTTCACTTGACTGTATGCACAAGGTTTCCACCCATTATCTCCTTTGTTCCCCAATTCGAGCTGCTTCAGAAGAGTGTCTACGAGCACCTGGTCCATTACTGTATTCCACCGTAAATGGGTCGTCCCCTTATTATCGTCCCTAGCATC